TGTCGTAATTCTCTGATTGGCTGCTGCAACTCTGTCACAATTCTCTGATTAGCTGCTGCAAGCCATAATTAGTTGAGGAGTCATCTTTAAACTCTACTAAGCTTATATTTTTCATCTGGATTTATTTTCAACTTTACACGCTTAGCAATATCTTCAGTCATAATAGGAAAGTTAGCAAGTGAATCAATCCCACCTGTGAGAATGACTAGGTGATTAATTTTACATTTCATAATAACAATATTTATAGCAGGATTCTTTTTTTGAATGAAATTAATTTTCATAGGATTACCCAATATCTCTTCTTCCTTATCCAAATCAGGTAGATCTGGAACTGGATCTTGATAATTTTTGGAGTCTGACACTTGAATAGGTGGAGATATAGTAAATGGATTTTCAACCTGAACTGGTATACTAGTATCAATTTTGAATTTCAGTTTCTCTAACCAATGTACAGGTAAAGCTTTCTCAAGCATATCTAATATGATCTTTTGGAGAAAAGCCTATTCAATATGAGTTAATTTATTTTAGAACTTACCAAAACTGGGAGTATCTTTCTGTTTCTTCTCACGAGTTTTGGATTTCCATTTTTGTGAGGATGATTTATCAAAGTCAGCTTTCTGACTCACTTTTTTTTTACTTTACTAACATTAATAGTCATACTTTCAGTCTCAGAGGATGTATCATCAGAATCAGACTCAGTTTCAGAATCAGAATCATTATCAGAAGAGTTAATATCTGAACCTGATTCAGAATTTAAATCTACAATAACCTTGTTAACTTTATCTTTATTTTTAGATTTGCTCTTCAACTTACTCTTCTTTTTATAAGAATAGGAACACTTGCGAGAATTATATCCAAGACTTTGACAATTTGAATATTTATGCTGGAATAATATATTAATAGCATGTACTACTTTTATTTCTTGCGATATATCTTTGGATATAGTCTGGTTTATTGATAATCCTGCTATACTGTTAGTAATCTCATCTATATCATCAGTATTGGAAGATGTATTTTTTTCTTTTTGGATAAGAGAGATATAATTTTATCAATTACTCCTTTACTAATAGTATCCATAAGAGTTTGTAGGTAAGATGTATCTTTGGCTATAATATTAAGATATTCTAATGCATCAGATATATTTAAATATTCTGCATCATTTAAACGTAAATTCAGATCCCAGTATATTTTATCAGATTCCATTTGACTAGGTCATAATAATTATTCTTCTTGTCTTTGAAAAGTGGATTGTGTAGACTAAAGAGAAGTGGTTGGCACTAAAGATAGCTTCTCAACTAGTTGCGGCTTGTGACAGCCAATCAGAGAATTATGACAGAGTTGCGGTAGCCAATCAGAGAATTATAACAGAGTTGCGACTAGTTGCAGCTTCTATCACTAGTTGGCACTAAAGCTAATTCTGATTTTATCATACTTTTTACTTCAGCTAGAGATATACCACTACTATCAGAATGTGATTTATTTTGTATATTAACAACTGGAATTTGAGAAATTTGATTGGAAATTAAGCCTCTATAGCCAAGTAATGGTTAATGCTTAAGCTATAATTCTTTGAGTAAAGTAAAGAAAGCTGTAATACCAGCAGGATTTGCTTCTTCTATTCGAATAAAAAGCTTAGCAGGCAAATAATCCATGAGAAATTCCAAAGCATTGGCATCATTATCAGGCACTCCTAATAAATATTATCAAATTCTAGCTTCATATATATCTGGATTATCATCAATCTTAAATGTTTCTTGAGATAATCTTTGAATGGCAGATTGATGAGTACCAACTGTTCTTTGTAGATATGTATCTTCAAGCCATACTCTGAAGTGGGCTGGAGTATCAATATTATTTCCTGCATGTTGAGGTGGAACTGATAAATACTTTTCTGCTATTTTTAATTTATAGATATCTGCCTTATGTGCATCAGTAAAGGTATCATCATTTGTATTATTAGCATCAGTAATTATTGTATCAGTATAACTGATGGCAGTTTCAATCTTATTATAATAATCATCTGGTAGTTCTTGTCCTATATATGATGGAATATGAGTAAGACTTGTTTGAATAATTTGATAAATATGCTATCTGTCTGCAACCGTCATGTTTGGATTTAGAAGTAAATTATTCTGTAAATATAAAATTTGTCCTTGTAAATTCAAAATTAATTGTTGGATATTATGAGTTTTATTTTTCCATTTTTCATATCTTGAAACAACACGGTCATACCAAAATTATAAGAAAACCTTATTATTATGACATTTCCATAACTCCTGTTCTATCTGATAAATAGATATTTTATAATGAATTTCAAGAGTACGTCATTTTAGTTTATACTATTCTTCCCATGCTAAACTTATATTATATCACAAATGTTCCCACATATCATATTTTTGCTGTAATTCTCTTTCATGTGTCTGACACTGCCAAATTTTAAATTTGAGTGCAAACTTATCAAGCAATAAAGTGTCTATACATTTTTGCATCCCATTTTCTAATTTCTGAGCAATCCCCCACCAGCGATGACATTCCTTCTGTTTATTATTATAAGCTATAGTTATCAAAATAAGATCATTCTGAGAATTGTTACGCTCCTAAATAAGCTGATTAACTTGATTTTGCAATATAATATTCTGCTATCTATAACCATTAATCTCCTGCTGTAACTGAATTATCTGATTATCTCTATCATCTCATTGGTTTGCAATTTCATCTAAATTCTGATCTATTCTTTGATAATTAGTCCTAATAGTATTTAAAGTATCATACATACCTTGGACAATATTGACTGGATTGATTAATAATATGTCATGTCCTCTGAAATAATTTTCAAGTCGATTTAACCCTCTTGTAATATTTATAAAAGGATCAATATATGCCATATCTATATCTTCCTCTTCTGAATTATATAAGTTTGAAAAGCTTCTTTGAAAAGAAATAACTTTGAATCTATACCTCAAATTTTGAACCCACTCTTTTAATTCTTGTAACTGTCTTTCTATATTAGCAATATGAGATACCTTATCTCTGATCTTCTTCTTGGTATTATAGATTTGTATATGAAGACTAGAGATTTCTGATCTCAACTCTGCCTTTTCTTCCTCTGAAGCATTCTCTAGCCATTCCAGTTCTTTATTGAGAGATTGAATTTCTTTCTCACATCTGATATATTTACGCTCCAGCTCATTTATGTATTTCTCATTCAACCTATTGATTGAAACTTCGTTAGATAACTCATCTCTCAAAGCTTGATTTATCTGTTCCAGTTCTAATTTCCAATCAGAGCTTGGCCCACAAGATATTTGATTAGGATGTGGTCTACGAAATGTCATGATTATTTTTTATGACATATTATATTGACTTATCTCTGATTTCACCAAAATGAGTAACCCTAGTATCATTATAGATCCTAATGAAGCTCAAGATATTGAAAAAAATCTCATATTGCGTAATATATACTATCGTCCAACTGAATATTACTCCAATGCAAAAACATTAAGAGATGTATGTTTGAAAAAAGGATATAAATTTAAGCTTTCTACGATTAAAAAATGGCTCACAAATCAGAGTACCTGGCAAATATATGCACCACCACCAAAGCATATTTCCAGAGTGAGTTATGGAAAAATTTCACGTCTGAACTGTGTACATATGTGTGATCTCTTATTCCTTACTCATGATCATTATAAGAGTAAAAAATGAATAGCAGTACTTAATATAATAGATGTGGCCAGCAGGTTCAAAGCAAGTGTCCCTCTCACATTGAAAAAAAGCTTGGAAGTTGCTAAAGCATTCAAAAAAATTTATAATAGTTCATCAAATCCACTAACCTGGCCTAAATTATTAACTGTTGATGGCGGACGTGAATATATGAGTGAAACGGCCCAAATAATGAAAACACATAATGTTACAATTCGAGTAATTGGTGCATATAACCATCGAGGGCTCGCAATTGTAAATAGATTCTGTAAAACCCTTGCGGAGATGCTATGTAAAATCCAATATGCTGTTGAAAGTATAACTTCGAACCCTAAATCGATAAGAGCGTGGGTTAAGTATTTGCCAGAAGTTATCGATTACCTAAATAACTATCCAACGCGCCTCATTCGAGCTCCAGGTTCTTCAAAGTGGGGTTTAGCACCTAAGAAGGCCATCAAGTTAGAAAAGGTTGAATCTCGGCCATTCACAAAGTATAAGCGCCCTGTTGGAAAAAATGAGGAAAATAAGTTGAAGAAGGGGGATACAGTCCGTTATTTATTAGCCGATGGAGAATGGGAAGGATCACCAGGTTTAGAACAAAAACGAGCTACGGATCCCACATTCTCGCCAACATTATTTAAAATTGGAAAAATTATTGTAACGAAGAATGAACCAGTATTATATTATCTCGAAGGTGATGAGTTTACACCAAAGCGGGCATTCGTGAAAGAAGAGCTCATGCACGTCATTCCGGAAAAAATCGAATATCCGCCCCAAAGTATATTGGAAGAAAATAATCGCTCCGGATCCATACATTTTGTTCATGTTTCCGATAATGAAGCATCTCGGGCTGAGGAATACGCCAGAAAGCGTAATGGGACTTGTATTATGAAAACTGGACGGATAAATGGCTTCAATATATATCTTTGGTCATGCGAAAATAGACTCCATCAGTGGGAAGCGCCTTATAAGGTCTTGGTGCAGAAATTCAAATGGTGCCCAGTTTGTTTTCACCATACCGATGAAAGGCGTTGTAGATATATTTTTGAAGATCTACTAGGTAAGAAATTTCCATCTTGTAAACCGTCATTTTTGAATGGGATGCAATTAGATGGATATAACGAAGAATTAAAATTGGCATTCGAATTCCAGGGGTCTCAACATTTTCGTGCTATTCCAAAACACTTTCATCCCAATGGCGAAGTGGACCTAGTTTCACAAAGGAAGCGTGATCAAAAAAAGCGGGAGATATGTAAAAGAGAAGGTATAGATCTCATTGAAATTGAGGGGAAACCTTACTATGTTTGTATCAGTCTCCGTATTACATTTATTTTTGGATATCCCTAAAGTCAAAATGCATGTTTCAAAAATTCATGTTTCAAAAATTCATGTTTCAAAATTCAGAATGATTTTAATAGATTATATTCAAACGAAATATACCTTAATGATACATTCTTCTATATCTGTGACGATATCATCTGATTTTCTCTTAAGCACCTGGATAAGATAAAACATCAACCAACCATATCACATAGAGAAAAAATCCCAAACGTGGAACATATTAATATACCTCTTCAATTTTGTCAAACAAGTTATAGAGTAACTCCTCTTCCTTTGAGTCCATTTCCTTAAGCACCACTGTCTTGCTGAAGTCTGCCTGCATTTCAGTCCATTCTTCAATGGTAAACAATTCCTTAACTTCGGGTTCTTCACCAGACAGATCAAGAATCCCAAAGTACGCAGGACTGATAAAAAAAATCCAATATATAAGTAATTGTGTAGCTTAAGGAACAGCACAATTTGAGATATTTACTATAGGTGAGCCTTTGTTGGTCGGATTTTTGATCTGAACTCATTTAAAACCATATAAACATCTTTCCTTGTAGAAAGAGTCCACTTCTCCTCAGAGCTGTCCTTTCTTTTATTTCCAAATGCTTCAAGTTCTTCTATATCATCCTATTTCAAAACAGTAAGGTGCCAAGAGTGACAACATGAACAAATGACTAAATATCATACTGAACTCACCAACTCACGCATTTGGTCATCACAAAGGTCAGAGGCGTCTGATACAACATCACTTGTGATTTCATCCTATATTGCATTCAACATCATTACTCATTATAAATTATAATGTTTTGCTAGAATGATATAGAAATCTACTTGCCTTTCTGTGTCGCTTTCCTGGTCGTTCCTATATGATATAAAAATTTTAATTTATTAATAAAAAAATGTATGCAGATGACAACCAGCAAATTTATGAAGCACGAGCTACTCGGCTTACTGACCTGATCTTCTTCATCATGCAATTTCCTTAACGTCGCCTTATTCTGGTGATGATCTTTTTTTGCTTCCACGTTGTAGGCAACAGTCACGTTTCGACGTATCGATGTGTAGAGATCCTTCTCCTCCTCTTTTTTTTTAAGGTCATTGATAAATTGTTCGATCTCTTTTGCACTGAAAAGCCTATCGTAATTGTTCAAAAGCTTCTCCAGTTTGCTAACGGCCCTTTGTTGCATATTCGTCCGATTTTGGTGGCGTCGTAGCACTGCATAGACCTCACTCTTGAGGATACTGATATCATCAACATATAGATAGCGCTTGGATTCCACATATTTCAAGACCGATGGAATTGACCAATTGCTGGATTGTGTTGTGTTAAAGTATTCATCGATAATGGAATCAAACATCCTGAAAAGAAACGAGCCAGTAATTAATTTGTTGTGTGTATGATAAGTTACAAGATCAAATTGTCGGAGAGAAGAATACACAGTCAACAGTATACTGGAAAGCAACATGTCAGATCAGCCCTTGAACATGCATGCACAAAGGGGACCCAAGAGGATGCTCTCAAACACCTGACGCAGGAGCAAATACGTAGTAGATGGCCAATACGCCAGTAGGTATACATGACACAGCGCTGGAAAGCAACATGTCAGATCAGCCCTTGGACACGCATGCACCAAGGGGGACCCAAGAGGATGCTCCCAAACACCTGACGCAGGAGCAAATACGTAGTAGATGGCCAATACGCCAGTAGGGCTGTGCGTGACCGATAGCACAGTGCTGTAGAGTAATAATAACCTAACTTTGTTGTTAGCACCTTCTGCCGTAAATGCGTAAACGTTATGCTGTAAACCTCCAAAAAATTTTTGTAGTATTAAACGCGTAAACCAAAAAAAATTTGTAGTATTAGTCACGTGGTACGCATAATGCTTTATCGATATTTGATCAAATGATAAGTTGGTTGTACGATCAAAAATAACAAATAATTTCTTTATTAATAGTAGTATTTTTTTTTATGTTACAAAATTACCGGCTTGTAAAAATTGAATCATGGAGTAGGAACAAAGAGGGAGGAATAAAACATGAAGACATGTCTGCCGGGATCCTAGTCCCCTTTACATGTAAAGTGGTGGCAGTTCCTTTCCCTACCCCACACTAGCTATCATTATTATTATCTTCTTCTCACTTTCCGGTTCACTATCTATTTCACCCTTCTGCTTGGACACCCATAATTTTAATGAATCCAGTGTATCCTCTTTCGGATTTTTTGTTAATTTTTTATGAAAATTTCTAACGGTTGCGTCACTGATTGCTACACCCTTCTTATGCTTAATTACGAGCTCACTAATTTCCTCAGCAACCTTGGGGTACAACCTTGCCATGGACCGTTTTTCAGTACGTTTTTTCTCGTTGAATAATGTATCAATTTCTTCCCACAGTTCGAAAATGGTACCAGTATAATTTTGAGGCGATCTGGACGTACCGGATCCCGCGTTACTACTTCTTGCACCCCCATCCCGAACTTCACGAATATCATAGCCGAGGAGTCTTACGGTTTCAGATAATTCAGAGATACTTTTTTGTTGCTTCTTTAGCGCTGAAGTCATTTTTGCGTTGAATTGTTTTTCGGCATTCCCAGAATTGTATCTGGTTAGGAAGTAGAGAAATATCATTTGAACCAGCATTAAGGTGGCGAGTAGTAAAAAATCGGAAGCAATCGAGAACATTTTAATAAGGTCTGCACGATTTGTGATTCGATTATGTTGTAAAGAAACTAACACGACAAAGATTTTGCGATTATAGATTATGATTCCTGTTTGGGAATTATGTGGACCAGTAGCTGGAAAATTATGTTTTTTACTTGGGGGTTATGTGTTAATGCTGTATGGAATTACGCGCGTTTTCACGTTTTAAACGATCACTTTGTATCTTAGGGCCAGACCCACTGAGAACACATATGTTTTTATACGTCAGAGCTTGACATCAACGATCCATGGCATTGGTTCTTTACATCTCGTATTAAATCGAACTAATAAATTGCCAGCGATCACAAAATATGATGTCTCGTATCATAGACAGAAGTTTATCTGATTGGTTAATTTTCTGCAGATCATCATAGATCGATTTTTAATTTTACAAAATTTAA